CTCCATGAGGCCGCTCGCGTATCGACCCTCGTACACCCGCACAAACGCTTGTTGCTTGTGCAGCCACCTTTCCACGGCGATCAAGTTCTCTTTCCCCGCGCTCCCGGCGCCGGCTTCTCCAGAGCCCACGTCGTTCTGGCACTGCGTCTCGAAGAAACGCGTGGCGTCTCGACGGCGTCGCCCTCTACGAAGCTTCGCAACCGCCACCTGCAGGCACCTGTTTTCATGAACACCCAGGTTATCATCATCGGACGCAAGAACCAAGGTCGCCAGACAGGGGGCGAACCTGACGTACACCAGCCAAAATAGCGCGACTAGCACCATCAAGCCGCCCACGGTCTCGCCACCACGACATGCGCGGCCCCCCGCTCTTGTGGACTCTCCGACACCCCTGCTTCGAGTGGCGCCGGCGTTCCCCCCTTGCAGCCACACCTGCGCGGACGCCGTGCGCGCCCTGCGGCTGACGCCCACTCCCTGGGAACTTCGCGCGCCCGCGTGCCGTCTGCGACCAGCTCGCCGGCCGTGTCGCTGGGAAAATTGGAGCGCCAACCGATGCAAAGGTTTCGGTTTCGACGCGCACGCCAGGCCGATGAACATCAACGTGCGAAACGCTTCAAAAAAAACACTTTCCGGACATGCGGCCGTCGCCCTCCGTTCCTTCTTGTCCGACTCTGTTCGCGTCCACTTGCGGGGAGACAAAAACGGACCCGGCCTTTCGAAAGTTTGCAAGCGCTTTCCCCTTCGGCGCCTCCACCCCAAGGAGAACCCGCAGGCCCACCAGCGCCGCGCACTCCAGGCCCCGCACGCGCGGGCCACCTTCTTGCCAGGGCTTGCCACGCGCACGCGGAAAGCCCGCCGGACTCGACGCTCGGCCCCGGGCCACTGGCCCGTGCCGACAGCCCGCACTCTCGACGCTTCGGAAACGAGGTGCTGCCCCTGGTGTCGCGGGACACCGCGAACCCGCCGACTCCCAGATTGCCTGTTCGCACCTTCCCCGCGCCCAGCGTTCCCGTGACAGACTCCGAGACGCAGCCGTCGTGTTTCTCGCCACGCACACGACGGGGTCCTGCTGCTGTCTCGCCGGCCAGCTCCACCGAAAAAATGCGATAGTCCTGCCCTTCTAGGATACATGACCCGCGAGAGTTTGGCCCGCCCGGGACGCACCACGCTGGCACCATCACGCTGCCGCCGACCATCGTCCCGCCGACCTGCTGCACCGAAAAAATGCGATAGTCCTGCCCTTCTAGGATACCTCACCTGCGAGAGTTTTGCCCGCCCGGGATGCACCACGCTGGTACCACCACGCTGCCGCCGACCATCGCGGCCAGCACCCGCCATCCGAAACGCTATCTCGTCCGCGCCGGCCTCGGGAGGTCCGGCGCCTTGCAGGGTGTGGTTCCTGCAGACCCTCGGTTTTTGTGGAAAACCGGTAAACCCTCGGTTGTACCCCACCACGGCCGAAGCCGGGCTGACGACCCCTATGGCAGACTCCGAAGAGTCTGCCATGGAAGCCGCGGGCCTGAGACAACCGGTAAACTCCTTGGCTGTTGTGGTACAACCGGTAAAACCCCCGATTCCTTGCAAGGAATCGGGCCTACGACACCCCTTCGCCGCGCCCTTGCGGCTCATGGCGCCCAGGGGAGGGGCCGGAGGGGGGGCCCTGGGAAGAGGCGCCCCTCAAGAGTAGCTGCACTCAAGGCTTGAGCCTGGCAGCGCGGCGTTCTCGACTCCTCGCTTATCCCACGTTTCCTTTCCTCATCTTCCTCCTTCTCTTCCTCCACCCCTCATCCCCATCCTCTGTGTCATCGTTCTCCTTCTCCTTGTCACCTTCGTGGTCGTGCTCATCGGCAATATCACGCTCCCCATCCCCAACATCATCATCATCTGCGTCAGCGTCATCACCATCACCCTCATCATTTTCATCACAATCATTATCATGATGGTCGCCATGATCAACGGGAACTCCTGGGACGCCCTCTGCGAGGCGTCACGGCAGCATACGCGAGGGCGACGGGCCGAGAGCACGGCTGGCATGCAAATCACACGGAGACTTCCTGGACAAAGGCTGCATTAGGAGAACGCTGCATCACGCACTAGCCGGCCGCTCGGGGCTGATCGAGAACTTGTGTACATATACTGCGCCCTGGTGTCCCGCTCCCCGCCTCTCCCATTCTCCCCCCGCCCTCCTCCCTCCACCTCTTCCCTGCCTCTTTCTCCCCCCTGCTCAACCCCCACCCCCCAAATCCTGCCCTCGAATCCTACTCCCCGTCCCCTTTCCCTGGACGTTTCCGCGCTCTCCCCCCGAAACTGTGTTCCCATGTGGAAGCCTCTTGGAGGGGGTGCGGATGCCCGATTTAGTGACGGAACGGCTCGACTTTGTGTGAAAACGGGAACCGTCGCCAGTCCCCGCGCCCTGATATTTTTTTGAGTGTTCCTCGAAACCCTACGAGCCCTGAGCGCTCCCCAGGACCTCCGTACAGCTCCTTTTCCCCCAACACCTTCTCCTCGTCCCTATTCGGGTCGGGCGATGTTTTCACTCTCCGCGAAACATCACATGATTTGCTACGTCTTTGCCTCCGACTTGCGGCTTGCACGTCGGAGGGACGAACAGCGGCCGACGCGCCACTCGCCAGCAGGCCATGCTTCAGCGGAGGACAGGAAGAAGGAAGTGAGCCCTCTTACTCCTGCTCCTGCGTGTCGTCTTCTCTCCTCTTGTCACTCTCGCCAAAGAAACAGCGAGCATGGAGACGCTGCTTGTGAAATCGGCATGAAGCACGTATCAAGGAGCCCGCACGTGAAAATCTGGAAAAAAAAACTGCCTGAGACTAACTAGGATCGGCCCTCGTGGTACTGTGCACCACAAAGCCTTGTCCCTCCGAGCCCGCGGGGCGCACGCTGACAACCTGGTGGCGCGGCCAACGCGCTCCCCTGACAGTCGGCTCAAGGGGGAACAGCAGGAGGCAAACTGGCGGGTCCTGATAGTCCGCCGACCTCTTGTGGGTCTCCAGGCATGTGAGATTGTTCCCCCCCCATAATTCCCCCCCCAGGGACCCCAAACCGGGAATTTGACCCCCCCCCCTCGCCCGGGACGACCCCGGACCGAACTCACCCGGGGCGGTCTGGGCTCCCTGGGATCGCTCTTGAGCTGCACGACAGCACTTGACGCCTCCCAAGAAGCCGCCAAGACGGTCCACGAGAACCCAAAGTCGCCGAATGATCGTTCCAAGACGCCCAATATGAACCCAAAACGGCCCAAGAGGCCGCCAAGACACCCCACGAAGCCTCCAGGAGGCCTCCCAAGAAGCCCCCAAGAAACCACAATCTTCAAATTCCCTTGGGAGAACGTGCGTTGTCAGCATATCCAACTTGTTAGCCTTCACGGCGTTGAAAACCGTCCACGAGGCCCGCACGAGGCCACCAGGACCACCCCAAGACGGCCCACGAGGCCCCCAGGAGGCCCCAAAGACAACCCAAAAGACTCCAACGTGGCCCAAGAGGCGCCCTAGACGGCCCAAGAGAGCACCAAGACGGCCCCAAGAGAGGGACCACGAACCGCGAATTCCAGCGCTCCGCCCAACGAAGCTCTCCAGAGGACCCAAGAGGCCCCCAAGCGGCCCCAAGAGGCCCCCATGAGGCACCCAAGAGGCACCCAAGGAGTCCCCAAGAGGTCCAAAAGAAGCTCCAAAACGGCTCCCAAAACCCTTCGAAACTGCCTCGAAGAGGCCCACGAGAGTCCTCGCCACGAGATCCCGACGGACATCCCAACGGGAGCCCACCGGGGGGCCACCAAGGAACGGATCGGGACGAAGCGTGGGTCCCGGAAAATACGATAACAACAACGAGGCAAAAGGAACGATGTCGAGCGCCGTGTGATAATTCGGACAAGCCTCGTGGAATGCAGTCCTGGAGGCGCAGTAGTTTATAGAGGGGTCGGCGGATGTGGCGTAAGCCTATAGAATCTCGACGAGATGTTCTTCGGGGGCGGCCAAGAGGGGGGCGTCCAACAGGGGGGGGCGCAAATCATGGCCGGCGGCCTGTGCGCGGCCCAAGGGGGGGCCAGGGACGTGACGAAACAAAAAGAGGCGCCATGAAATCTGGGGAAGTACCATGGCCCACGCCATGATATCAACCCCCTCTTTGCCGCCACCGAGTTCTGCGCGCCAGCATGATGCGATGCTCGCTTGTGGGCACCTCGGCCCCGGCCCGCGGCACCTGCCGGGGGTGCGCCCTGGAGGTCGCACCGTCGTCGCCCGCAGCCGGGGAGAGGCCCGGCAGCCGGGGCCCAATCCCCGCGCCACGGAGTGCACACCGCAGGCACGGACAGGCGCGCTCCACTGCCCGCAGAGGCACTGCGCGCACGTGGCCCGGATCCGCCGCCAGGGATCTGCGGGCCGCTGCTGAGGCGCAACGACAAGGGGGGGACTGGCAGAGGGGAGGGGATGCATCGACCTGGAATCGGCGATGCATCGCCACTAGATCGGCGATGGGCCTCCGACAGTGAGTCTTCGAATCTTCACCTCCCTGGGCAGGTTCTATCGGGCCCCTGTCGGCGATCTGTGGGCGACTGGGGGGCGACGCATCCCTCCCCCTGCGCCTATCCCCCCCTTCTCGTTGCCCCTGCAATTCGGGGATGGACAGACCTCCCTTTAGTAAAACGTGGTTTAGTGAAAACGACCTCGGGCCCACATCTGGCCGGCGCAAGCCTGGAAAATAACGGCCGCGGCGCCCTCTCGAGAACCGAAAACGGACAATTCACTGATCGACGTGTCTGGGTAGGAGGTCTGTCCACCCCCGAGCAATGCACAGGAGGCAGGCCATGTGTTTCTGCTTCGGACGTGTGCGAGCAGGCACCTCGCGAGCATTGGCACGCGCTCGGTGAAGGCAGGGCGCCGGGGAGAGCCTCCTCATCCTCCTCCTCCTCCTCCTCCTCCTCCTCCTCCTCCCCCTCCTCCTCCCTCTCCTCTCCTCCTCCTCCTCCTGCTCCTCCTCCTCCTCCTCCTCCTCCTCAAGGCTCTGCAGAAGAACATGGTCATCCATGAACGCCAATCGAGAGAAAAACAAACAAATTACGCCAACTCAACACGCCTGGTCGAGCAGGTGGCAGCCTTCCGGGACCCAGGCATGAAACCTTGGATCAGCTGCTTAAGGGTACGGCCCCCGGGAGGACGCTCGACTTAAGCAAGACTCCGATCGGTCAACATGCGGCACAGATCAACATCTGTGATTCACGACGCCGGCCACAAGAGCCATTCGGCCCACGGACCCACTGGGCGCGATTCACCGATTCGCACGCTGTCTACTTCAGCTGCGGCCGTCACAGCGCGAGATCACTCGACGCACGCCATGCGCACGCGCCTGACGGCACACTTTGGACGCCGGGAAGCCCGGGGCGCCCTCCTACTCCTCAGCGCTCCTCGGCGAGAGAGACGCGGGCCTCAGGCGTCCGCCTTCTTTGCCAGCAGATCACTGCTGCTGTCTTCAGAGAGCTCTTTCTTCGGCTGCGCTGGCCACAGACTGTACGCGGTGAAGGCCACCATGTTCCCCACCACGCCCAGGCACATCAGGTACTTCCAGTGCCCGACAGGCAGCGACTCCATGCCCATGAGCAGGGCCAGGGCGATGGCCGCCACCTTATTGAAGTTTGCGGCAAACGACGCGAAGAACGGGGAGAGGCCCCCGACAATGTTGTACAGCAGGAGGTTGTAGCCGAGGGCCCAGATGCCAGACAGCATCACCAGCACCACGGTGCTGGGGCTCAGCTGGGCGATCTGCACGAGCACGCTGAAATCCGTGGCCATATCTTGTCCAGGATAAGACACGGGGTGCTTGATCAAGTAGCTGGGCAGCAACAACAGCACGACGATTGGAATGGCCATGTAAAGGAGAGAGTCGATAGAGTTCAGCTTGAACCCCTTGCCAAGAATCACCACTACGATGAGCTCCAGGGAGGAGAAAAGGAGCGAGCAGATGCACAAGCAGAGCCCCAGCGTGTCGCTGCCGCCGCCGGCCTCGATTTCGGCCGCCGTCTTCTTCTCGGCACTCTTGGAGATCACCACCAGCGAGGCGCAGATGACGCCGAGTAGCATCGCGCCCACCTTCGCAGGGCGAATGTCGACGCTTCCATCGTCGAACCACTTGCGAAAGCACAGCTGCAGGAGGAGAGATATCAGCGGGCTCGTGGAGCGCACCATAACGTTGACGGACATGTCCAGAAGCGAGAGGCTGAAGTTGTTGAGGGCTATGTTCAGGGTGAAGCACACTGCGAGGGCCATCACCGCGTAGATCTGGTCCTTGCTGACAATGGCCTGCGGCCTGTAGGCCCACGGCGTCAGCTGGGACGCGAGGATCGCCAGCGCGAGAAAAAGGAAGCCCACGAGCTGCTGGATGGCCGTCAGGATCAGGGGCGCCTGGAAGCCCCGCATGTTGAGCTCCTGGGAGACCGTGTGGTTGGACAGGATCGCCTTCATGTACAAATTCATGAAACTCTGGGCCCCGAAGAACAGGAGCAGCTGCGCCAGGGTCCGGTATCTGGGCAGGATGACGAAGACGCCGCCGCCGAGCACCAGCGCCAGCACGGGCACCCCGAGCTGCGCGCACAGCTCCGCGCTTCCAGTGTAGGCCGGCTCCTCGATCGCGGTGGCGCCAATAAGCATTCCTCCGCTCTCCAGCATCTCGACGCTCAGGTTCACCTGCGAGGCATCGCCCGTGACCAGGCGGTGGCCCTCCTCCGGGCCTGCGGGGATGCCCGCCCTGCCCTTCCTGTCCATGGCGGCCGCGCTGCCTGCCACGGCGAGCAGCACGCAGCAGCGCGCGACCGACATGACTACTAACATTCTTCAAGGATGCACTATGGAGTTCGTTGGCGAAGAATGTGAGCGCATGTGAGGCGCCGGTGTCAACACCTTGAGCCAAAATGGCAACGGATGATGATGTCGATGCTGATGATGATGATGATGATGCTGCTGCTGCTGATGATGATGATGATCATTATGATGATGCTGATGCTGATGATGATGATGATGCTGATGATGATGATGATGATGATGATGATGATGATGGTCTCACGCCTGTAATCGAACGTGCTTGAGTGCTTGAAACATGAGGGCGGCTCATCTGAATCTCAACTTCTTGCAAACTGATGGGTGGTTGCTGTTGTCTTTGGCCGCGAATTGCAGAACTATGATTGTTCAGCAGATTTTGCGCTTCGCTTGCGTGCTTGCGTGATGAGATAGTAGCGTGCCTGCAAACGAACGCGTTTGCAAGCATGCAAACATAGGGTGTCTGAAAAAACGTCGAGGACGCTCTATGAGGAGCCGAGGGGGAAGTTCGAGGATTCCCTCAGATCGACTGAAAGGCTTCCCTGAGGAAACCTACAGGAATCCCTGAGTGAGCCTGGGGATTTCCAACTAGAACCACGCGCGCGCGCTTCGCTGAGGTTCTAGCAAGCCCCAGGCCGTGACAAGTTCACAGATACACTGAAATAGTTACCCACAATTTGAATGAATAGGAGGCACACCGAAGCGTCAAAAAACGCGGGCTGAACAGAGATCGATTACACACAATGTCACATCCATACAAGGCAATGCCAACCAATTCCTAGCAGCGAAAAATGATCTTCAAATGGAGTACCCACACTGACACTGCAATGGAAACCAGATGCGAGCGCCGTGCAGCGAGAAGCAAAGCAAATGAAAGGCAAGGCAATGCGATGCAATACAACTAAATGCAAAGCAGAACAATGCTCGCCAGTGCAATGCAGTTTGCGGAACCATGCCAGTACACATCCGTCGGAACACAACAAAGTAAAAGGCAAGGCAATACTTCGCGCTCGCGGGGCGGCCCCTGGGGCCCCCCCGGCGAAAAGTACCCCGACCGAAGCCCGGGAACTATTACTGAGATGGTTTCCCTCCTGGGCGCGGCCTTCCACGCCCCCGGGAGCGCGCCAAGAGGGCCAAAAGAGGCCCCCAAGGCGGTCCAAGAGGGCTCCGAATCACCGAACGATCGGCCCAAGACGCCCAACACGGCGTCAAGACGGCCCAAGAGGCCTCCAAGACGTCCCAAGGGAGCCCCGACCCTCCCCAAGAGAGCCCCAAGAGGCAAAAATCAATGATGTTCCTTAGGTTTTTGAAGGTTTTTGGCTTCCTCGCCTTTTCGGCCTTCCGACGCTCCAAGACGGCCCAAGAGGCCCCCAAGACCACCCCAAGACGGCCCCAGAGGCCCGCAAGAGAGCCCCAAGACCGCCCAAGAGGGCCCCAAGACAGCCTAAAAGGCGCTCAAGAGGGCTCCAAGAGAGCCCCAAAAGAGGCCCAAGATGGAGACCACGAACCGAAAATCCGAGCCATCCGCTCCAAGAGGCCTCCAGGACGCCCCAAGAGGCCCCCAAGAAGCCCCAAGAGGCGCCAAGAGGCCCGAAACAGACCCCCAAAGGCTCCAAAACGGAGCCCCAAGAGGCAAAACTCAGTGATGTCCATTAGGTTTCTGAAGGTTGTTGGCTTCCTCGCCTTTTCGCGTTTCCAACACTCCAAGACGGCCCAAGAGGCCCCCAAGAAGCCCCCAAGACCACCCCAAGACGGCCCAAGAGGCCCCCAAGAGAGCCCCATAACCGCCCAAGAGAGCTCCAAGACCGCCCAAGAGAGCTTCAAGACGCCCGCGATAAACTTTCACGAACCGCCACCTTCCGGATAAGACGGTTCAAGCATGCACAAAAACATGATCGACCCACGAACCCGGAAAGGAATATAGAAATGTAACGCATGGCAACGTGTTCAAGGACACCTGATTGGGTGACGGGCAAATGCAATGCTGATTGTACCGATCTTGATGTACCGTGCCGAGGGCTGTGCTGTGCTGCACCGTGCTGAATTGCGATGTGCCATGCCGCGGTTGTGCTCTATAGCGTCGTGGATCGAGTCCTCCTTTGCATTCGAGTCCTGACCGAACTGATCTGGATCTTAAGCTCGAGCTGCCTGAACACATAGTAGCTGCCCCAGAGCTGATTGACAGGGGGACATGCCAGGAGGACGCGCCGCGAAACGTCCCAAAGGACGCGCCAGGCGACGTGCCACGGGACGTGCCATGGGGTCGCACCGTAGGACGTGCCAAGGGGACGCGCTACGGAACGTTCCATGGATGTGCCACGGAATGTGCCAGGGGACGCGCCACGCGACGTACCAGGGGACTCGCCAAAGAACGCCCCACGGAACGTGCCAGGTTGCAATGCTGATTGTATCGATCTTGATGTACCGTGCCGAAGTCTGTGCTGTGCTGCACCGTGCTGAATTGCGATGTGCCATGCCGCGGTTGTGCTCTAAAGCGTCGTGGATCGAGTCCTCCTTCGCATCCGAGTCCTGACCGAGCTGATCTGGATCTTAAGCTCGAGCTGCCTGAACACATAGTGCCGCAGAGCTAATTGACAGGGGGACATGCCAGGAGGACGCGCCACGGAAGGTCTCAAGGGACGCGCCAGGCGACATGCCAGGGGGCGTGCCATGGGGACGCACCGCGGGACGTGCCGAGGGGACGCGCTACGGAACGTGCTGGGGACAAGCGTTTCGCTCGAGACATCCTGTCAAAATCCTCATTCTAGACATCCGCCTGAGCGACCTGGACACGTGAAAACAAACGTTTCGCTCAACACATCCTCAACACATTCTCATGCTAGACATCCGCCTGGGCGAACTGGACACGTGAAAACAAGTAATTCGCTCGAGACATCCTCAACAAATCTTCATGTGAGACGTCCGCCTGGGTGACCTGGGCACGTGAAAACAAGCGTTTCGCTCGAGACGTTTTCAACACCTCCTCATTCTAGACATCCGCCTTGGCGACCTGTACACGTGAAAGCAAACGTCTCGCTCGAGACATCCGCAACACATCTTCATGTTAGACATCCGCCTGGGCGACCTGGACACGTGAAAACAAGCGTTCGCTCGAGACATTCTCAACACATCCTCATGCTAGGCATCCGCCTGGGCAACCTGGACACGTGCAAACAAGCATCTCGATCGAGACTTCCTCAACACCCCCTCATTCTATACATCCGCCTGGGCGACGAGGACGCGTGAAACCAAGCGTCTCGCTCGAGACATCCTCAACAAATCCTGGCGCTTGACCTCTGCCTGGGCAACCTGGAGGCGTGACACCAAGCGTCTCGCTCGAGACATCCTCAAGACCTGGGCACGTGAAACCAAGTATTTCACTTGAGAGATCCTTTAAATTCTGGCCCCCAGCAGAGGACAATCTATAACACAAAACAAGCGTTTCGCTCGAGATATCCTCAACAAATTCTGAACAGATGGGTCCCTTTCGCCCCAGAGCGGATCAAGCGTGAAAACACTTGGGTCCCTTTCGCCCCTGAGCGGAACAAGCGTGAAAACACGTGGGTCCCTTTTCGCCCCTGAGCGGAACAAGCGTGAAAACACGTGGGTCCCTTTCGCCCCTGACCGGAATAAGCGTGAAAACACGTGGGTCCCTTTCGCCCCTGAGCGGAACAAGCGTGAAAACACGTGGGTCCCTTTCGTCCCTGAACGGAACAAGCGTGAAAACACGTGGGTCCCTTTCGCCCCTGAGCGGAACAAGTGTGAAAACACGTGGGTCCCTTTCGCCCCTTTCGCCTCCTGGGCCTTCCTAAGGCCTCCTCGGGCCTCCTCGGCATTCCTGGGGCCTCCTGGAGCCTTCTGGGGCCTCCTGAAGCCTTCTGGGACGTCCTGGGACGTCCTGGGGCCTCCTGGGGCCTCCTGGGCTCTCCTGGGGCCTCCTGGGGCTTCCTAGGCATTCCCTAAACATCCTGGGGCCTCCTGGGGCTTCCTGGGGCCATGCCCCTGACCAAAACGTGTCCCGCACCCTGTGATTTATCGATCGCGATTTCAAAAACAAGCGTTTCGCTAGGGACATCCTCAATTTTTAATTCGCCGGCCCTACGCGACCTCGTTATTTATCGCAAAAGAAATTCGCCGGCCCTACAGCCGTCAAAACCGGGGAGAACCAACTAAAAGAGAACACTGGGCTCAGGCCCTTTCCGGGAAAAACGGCCCCCGCCGGCAGGGTCGCCCCAAGCCGACCATCCAAGATCAACAACCAAACCCACCACCCGCATTCACTCCGATCACTCAGGCAATCGACAGCCGTGCCCCAATATGGGCCGGCGGAATTAGCGAAGCGATGAAATAAGTTGTGGATGCCCCGATTCCACCGTTGGTAAAGTAAACATCCATATGGCGCTAGCACTCCACCTTGTCCTTCTCCTTGCCCTCCTCCTCCTCATCCTCCTCCTCCACCCCTCCTCCTCCTCCTCATCATCATCCTCCCTTTCGCAATATATCCTCTGGTCGGTCGGCTGGCCCTGGCCGACGACCGTTTAGACTGCCACGCAGAGTTTACGGGGGAAACAAATTAACAGATCTCCCCCCCTGGGGGGCTGGGCAATAACTGTCACAGGTAGCCCCCGGTCCATCGGCCATCTTGAGCGTCTTGGAGGCCTCTTGAGCCGTCTTAGGGGCCTCTTGGGGCCGTCATGGGGCCCTCTTGGGCGATCTTTGGGGGCTCTTGGGCCGTCTCGGACCGTCGGAAGGCAGAAAACATGATGGACCCACGAACCCGGAAAGGGATTTAGACATGTGGAGCATGGACACGTTTTCACGATACCCAACTGGGCAACACCTCACGAAACATCCCACGAGACACTTCACGAAACATCCCACGAGACACCTCACGAAACATTCCACGAGACACCTCACGAAACATTCCACGAGACACCCCGCGAAACATTCCACGAGACACCCCACGAAACATTCCACGACGACAGGCAACCACTCAACCAAGGCGGTGTGGTCGTGCTGGGGAGTGGTCGTGCTGGGGTGTGGTCGTGCTGGGGGGTGGTCGTGCTGGGGGGTGGTCGTGCTGGGGGGGTGGTCGTGCTGGGGGGTG